AACTGATTCTCCAGTGCCCAGAACCCTTGTCAGGCCATGTGGTTCTCAAACTCCTCAGCTGTCTGTGATGCCCAGCCAGGGCTGAGGACACCATATTCATTAGGAAGGACCATGAGGATTTTTTTCAGATTGAATATAAAGAATCACCAAAAAAAAGACGAAAACAAAAACAAATCCGGACAATCCTGAATAAAAACTACCGCCCATTGATGGGAAAATGTAATTGCTGAGCTTATCTTAGATGTCAGGTTTCAAGGTAAGCACACGGCTGTTTCTTTTTTCACAAGGGGAAAATATTTGGTGGCAATAAAATAAGGCTTCCTAACGCCCTGTGACAAGTTAGCCATGTGACCTGGGGCCATTCCAAAAACACTCCCCCCGGTCTTTGATATTGCAGCAGTAGGAGGAAATTAGAAAATCAGCCATTTCTGTCTCTCAGGAAAATATGAAAGATGGTCAAGAAGAGGTAAAGGAGAGCATTTTACAGGCACAAAGCATTCCATGAGATTATTAACAACTAGAACCATTGTTGCTGTTGCCATGAGCTGCTGTATCGTTCAGCACCATTCAAATTTTCTCATGCTGCTCATCTTTACCAACCAGCAGCTTTTAGAACACTTGAGAAGACAGGTATTAATAAGAAAAGTGACCCTAAAGCATTCCCACTTTTTAAACAAAGCTAGTATATAGCTAGTAAACAGTAAATACCTTTTTTCCTGTAACATTCAGAAATGGTCGAAATGCCTCGTATCTGTGTACACCTCAAAATCGACTGGTGAAAGATGAAAGAATTGAGCTCTGATAGTAAAAAACCAGTAAAAAACTTATTCGTCCCAAGAAAAACAGGCAGGATGTCAGGAAGGCAGAAATAGGCCGAAAGAAAATCAGGTAAGAAAATGACATTCATTGAATTCTCATAGGCAGTATGTCCTGGGCACTTACCAGTTAACCACCCAACAGGTATACAGTGCTCCAAGTTCACCCCTTTTCCATGGCTTTTACAAAGATTTTAAGACCTTGGGTCTGTTAGCAAACACTACTATTCTGCTTGATGCCAGGGACTGCATGATAGCTGGCAATCAAATTCTATAAACCAAAAGCCAACCTTACTACCAGAGCCAACCTGCTGTGCTCTGGGAGCAGCCTGGCCAAGACAGAAAGTGTTTGGGAGACACAGTCCCACCCGCAAGAGCTCTTTGGAGTGGGGAGCTGTCTCCCATCTCTCCCCACAGCATCTGTGCACTTTGCTGTGTGCACATTCAAGTCCTTGATGATGCTCCAGTGACCCCACGGCCGTCCCTGAGGTCCTCTTGATAGCAGAAGCCTAAATGAGAGGCAATGAACTGAAACAGTTAGGTGCCCACATTATCTCCTTCTCGAAGATGACCTTTACAGCAAATCAGATCCAGAGTACCAGGGAACAGCACCAGTCGCTCCAGAGCGCTGTTGGGTGACATGTGTGGGGTGCTGGACCACCCTGAGGGTGTCCTGGAAGGTGTGGAGGCTCACCAGAGAAAATGGACATTTGTGAACTTACTGAGAATCCTGCATGAGCAACACACGGGGATTCGCTGACCCAGTAAAGCACAACCATGGTGGACAATTTTGGCTGCTTATCCACATTTCCCTTCTCTTCCCCATTCCAAAGAGCACCCATTGTACCTGGGGTGTAAGCTGCCCAGCTAAAAGATGACATTTCCATGCCACTCCTACAACTAAAGCAGGACAACTAGATGTAAACCAAAGCCCTTGAGGGGACCCTGGGAAAGTTCCATGAAAAAGCTAAAGACACTTTCATCTACCTCTTGCTGCATTCCCTTCTTTTCTGGGAAATCCCCCTCAGATCAGATGGCACTGGTGAGAATTCTTAGGAAGGAGGGTGACAGGCAGAGGGACCGTCTGGGGTTCTCTGTGCTAGCATGTTTGAGGAACGAGACCAGTGTGGTTAGAGCTGGTGGGTGAAGAGGATGGCAGGCAACGAGGTCAAGATGGGACCTTGGGGCGCGATCATATAGGCCCTCCAGGCCATGCGAAGGGCTCTGGGCTTCATTGGGAATGAGATGAGCAGCCGCTGCAGGGCCCACACAGAGATGCGACGTGATCCCATATTTGTAAGGATTATTCTGCTTCCTGTGCAGGTAAATTAAAAATTGGCAGGGGAGAACCCCATTTTAAGACAATTATTACAATCCACGTCTAGTAGAATTAATGTATATAAAGGGTCAAACATTAAAAGTAATTACCCTACGCACATACACACACACATGCATTCTCAGAAGCAAAACATATTTTGAAATAAAAAGGATTCTAGAAGTCTAAGTCTAAGCCCCAGCACCACCATTTACAGACGTGGGTGGGTCAAGGAGGAGACCGGACGGACAGGTCAAGAACCGCAACTAGGATTGCAAACGGTTGACCTGAGGAGAATGGAATGAATTTGTTCCTGAGATACAACTAATTTGCTGTAACAGTGCTTCTAAATGTTGATATCTAACTGCTTTGAGGCAGGAAAAGCACTTTTATTTACCATATGGTCTACCATTCCCTAAAGTCTCATATTCAAGTTACTAGATTAATAAATAGGTAGATAATAGACAGATTACACAGATAGTTATAACAGATAATGGAAGAGATATAGATAAATAGGTGACCGATGTGGCTGGATGACAGACAGATGACAGATGAGGGGAAGAGGACAGATGGCTAGCCTCTGGTCTCTATGTCTGAATACCTAAGTTCCAGGACCTCCAAACCTTTTCTTTCCAATAGGAACAATTACTTTCCCTGTAACTTTAGCCAGAGTTCAACCCCATGTCCTGCACTGGTAACATCTCAACATGAAGTTCTTCAACATCTGCCTGACAATCTTCATAAACAAGGAGTTTGCTGATGGACTGGACCAGAATTTCATTTTAGGCAGTTTTATATGTTGAACCAAATTTTACTCCCTATAACTTCCCCTCACCATCTGACGTCCACACTCCAAAGCTGTACATCTGAATCCCTCTCCCACATGACATCCTTTCAAATACTCAAAGGCAGCAATGCCCTTCTCCAGTCTTCAATGTCACAGAATAATACTTCCAGTTTTTATAAACATTCTCCATGTGACTTTATTTTGTGATTTTTCTACCTGCGGGTTACTCTCTTATAATGGGTCACAAGCTTTTAGGTGACATTGAGATTTGGCCATATGATTTTTAGATTATCTGATAACTGTAAGTACACGGAACTATTCATGTAGTTCAGCAAATATGTAGAGTTCTTTATCTGTCAAGTTCCCACTAGGAATATAATGACATATGCAGAGTTATCTAAGGAGAGTTTAATAAAGGGACTATTTCACAGGCAAATGTGTTAGTAAAATCAATAAAAAGTGATGCAGTGCCAAGGTGGGCAATCCCCAGGGGTGACTGTCTGTGGGCCTAAAGGGCCCCAGAGGAAGCAGCTCAGGGGACAGGCTGACAGGCGCACCAAGCCCGGGGGATGCAGCGAGGTGAGTGAGTCGTCGTCCTGTTCTCTGCCCTCCATCAGCGGTTCCTGCCCCCTGAACCTGGCAGGAAAGCAGACAGCAAGGGAGTGTGAAGACGCAGAATATACGGACATTCTGGGCACGGAGAAGAGTGAACGCTGGGGAGAGAGAACTGAGAGGGAAGGAAGCACGCGATAGGAACTCCCAATAACTGCTGGGTGCTGGGGATACAGAGGAGCGCAGGTCCCCAGGGGAGCACGCCTGAGAAAGGGCAGAAGATGGCACTCTGCTCTCCGTGAGCGGGGGCTGGCACTCACTGAGAGAGATCCAGACGAGGAGACCGAACGGCCTTTGCAGCTCAGAGAAGAAATCCAGAGGACATGAATCGGGATTCAACAACAGTAGCACATGAACGAAGCTTGGCTTACATGGATTTGCCAAAGGAGAAACTATGTGATCAAAAGATGAAAGGGCTTAAGTTGGGCCTTGGGGATTTTCACAGGAAATGGGTTTTGTAGAGTTAGATGACCTGCAATGGGCCAGCCACGGTGGGGGCAGGGGCATCAGAGAACCCTGCAGGAGGCTGTGGGAGGGTTTCGAGAAGGACAGAGCCATTCATCCTGTACATGCTGCTAGGGTGTCAAATAACAAAGGGATTGAAAACATATCTGTGACGCCTACCAACGTGGCAGGACAGTCAGCTTCAGAGAAGGGAGGTGAGAGGAGCAGAGTGAGTCTGAGCAGTGGTGAGCTCCAGGGGCCAGGGGCACGCTCCTTGGCAGGGCAGGCTGGTCAGGCACAAGGGAGAGGAGAGCACAGCGTCCTCGGGAAGCCGACAGGGGCAGGGCCCAGCGTGTAGGTGGGGGAATAACTCTGGGAGGAGGAGGATTACTTCCCTTAGTACATTAATAGGAAAGCATGAAGGAAAAAAATGGCAATAAGTGGTAGTAGCTGGGAATCAATGGCTTAAATTTTCTCTGAGAAATAGAAAATTCCATGCTAAAAGAAAGGGGAGACAGGAGGACAGGGCTTCTGAAGGGCCTGGAGAGCTCTCAACACTGTTGTTGCATGGGGCAGAAAGCGGGTTCACCAAGAAGATCTATAATGGGGCACAAAGACTGCATAATGCCCACCTCCAATCCCGAGGAGCAGAGATGTCAGAGAATAAGCAGGGAGTTCCTGGGGGGCCCACTGGAAACCCTGAGGGGAGAACTGGATTTCATCTAAGGCAAGAAGGTGGAGGGCCATTGGGAAAAGAGGTTGAGGATGACCGGGAGTTTGCTGATCGAAGCATTTTCAGAGGGCAGAGGGGCAGGGTATGGTTAGGGGACACGGACAGTGGGGTCATGGGGGGCGCCAAGCAGCAAGAGGGCTGGTTACCTGGGGGCTCATCTGACGAGATCATGGACACAAGCTATGGCTGGCTGGGTCTTGATTGTTTCTTTGAGGAGAAAAGTTGATCTCTGACCTCAACATCGTCTACGCACCAATGCCGAGGAGGTGATCCATGTAAGTGAACAGAATACCCGTTGGGTCTCAGCTCCTTCAGGGTGTGTCCTGTCTGGGTGGTTCCATGCTGTACCCCTAGAGCCTAGCAGAGTCTAGGCACATAAAAGTCATTTTAGATGTTTACCAAAGAAAAACACAAAATGTGTCTTCACCTCCACTACATGTAACTTAAGTATTTGTCTATTTATTTTTAAATCTTACAAAGCTTTAGCATCATGACAAGGAACATCAGTCATTATTGCAAAGAAAATGACCTATAATGTAAAGTTCATTTGAGTTAATAAGGAAAAGAATGGATATTAAGGATCTAAAATTATAAATGCAAATTCCACTTGTGAAAACAAATCAGAAACTCTCCCAATTCAACAAAACCAAATAGTTTACTAAGACTTTTTATACTAACTTAATTCCCTATGTATAAATAGTTGGATTAACACATAAAAATCAATAAATAAAGTTTTTGACCTTAGCAAAGCTTTTGGCTGAGCTGGTCAGAGAATAAAATACCAAAACACTGACAGTGTGGGCAAGGAACAACTTTTGGTGCCAACTTCCACAGTCACAGCTGCATTGGTGCAATCTTCTCATTCTCAACGTTTTCTAGTGATGAGTTCTCACAGCTCAGAAGCAGGAAATAATTTAAAAATACAAAAAAAAGTGTATAATAGAGCCTTGTAACTGCCTTTCTAGAGTTACCAAAAAAATGTGTCACGATGACTTGAAAGAGGCAAGATAAAAAGTGGCTCATTACATCGACACAGAGGGCTGGTCACGGAGGCGGAATCTCAGACGGTGCCCATTTTAAGATTACACATATTAGGGCTAAAAACAGTGATTTGCACAATTAATAACTTTTTAAAGACATTGTTATTACCAGGACGCTGGTGGTGATGACAAGGACAGCTGGGGACCAAGTGTCCAGTAATTAGACGGTAGAAACAGAGAAGTAGGTGGGGCCAGTTAAAGGTCGTGACTGGTGGTTTGAATGCCCTGCCTCCCGGTCAGTCATTAAAGGGGAGGCGCGCACAGGTTCTGAGAGGGGGTGCGGCACACCTGCAGCTCTGCTTCCAAACGCAGTTGGGGCCGGCAGGTCAAGGCCAAGCTAGAGCCAGAAGCAGTCTGGGCCGTCGTGGTGCACCGGGAGCGACCCCGGAAGAGGCGGGCACAGGATGGAAGATGCAGGGCACCGCCGCCTTCCTCCCTGCATGTCAGTGGAAAACAAGAGAAAAAGCCCAGGGTGACTCTGAGGTTTCAAGCCTGGATGACTACGAGAAATGAGAGGCTTTCACAGAAAGAAAGATGAGGCAATGGTTTGCAAAGGAATGAGTTAAATTTTGTGTCTGTATCATTATCTTTATTTGCATCTTATCTTCATCCTAAGGGCTCTGGCACCCAACACCGCACCTCGAATATGCCACATGCCGGGGATGGGTAAACTCGGCTGGTCCCCAGGATACTCAGAGATAATCAACGAGTCCCCAGCCCCCTTTAACTCACACGATCGCTGATCCCGCTGTTCTCCTTATCAAGAACTCCCCCTTGCTTGGAGGGAAGCACTTGCTTCAAAGACATCCCTGAAAAGCAGTGCAAAACAATATATTTTCTTCAGTCTTCCAAATACCTTTCTCTGAATGTGTTCAGAGACTAGGTGGCTTCAGAGGTAATAAAAACCCTAACTGGTTCCCATGTCTGCTCTGCCTCTAAGCCTCCTATGAAGAAAAGCCTCCTGAAGTTACTAATTAGCAGCAAGTGCTGGGAATGCGGCTAAGGGCGGAGACACCAGGAGAAGAGACAGAGCCGCAGGGCTCACAGGAAGAAAGCTGGACCGAGACACACATGTTATTTCAAGCTCTCTAATTACTTGCTGTGTGACCTTGGGCAAATCTCTTAAGCTCTCCCTGCTGTGGTCCTCCCACTGTCAAAAGGAGGGACAATGGTATTTACCAGCTACCTGCCTCCCTGGAGTATTGCAAAGATTAACAAGATACAATTTATAAAGTGCCTTGAGCCTTACCGCTGAAACACATCACGGAAATCAAAGTTTACCTGTTTAAATCTATGCACACTCAGAATGAATTTCCTATCATGCAGCTTCTATAATGGTACCTACATCTCAGACTTACACAAAGTGCTTGTGCACATGCATGACTGGGTTATCCATTAAGTCCTCTCTTTCCCCACCAACTGTGATTTCTCTGCTCTGCTTAATTAGCTAAACCTCCATGAAGGCATCATTCTCAGTCTCTTTTCTTCTTTATTAAATGTGCTAAAATAAATGGTTTCCCTATGAGTGAAAAAAAAAAGGGCTGTGGAAAAAAAACATTAAGAATGGAATAAAAGCTGTTTGAAAGAAAATGCTCTTTTCTTTCCACCGCTCAATATTTTATATATCTGAAACTTACATTTGACTTTTAGTAATTGGCAAATGCTCACTCTGATTCTTGTGGATTAGACAGAATCCCTAGCTTCCTGCTTGCCGCAGTTCTTTTTCTTTTTCTTCTCTTTATTTCTAATACACTAAACTACAAAGATTTGTGCAGCATAAAGGAGCTTCTTTTTCCTCAATTTTTCTCAATAAAGGAATAAAAATGTCACCCAACGGCAAGAATAAGTAACTTACAAAAGACAGTCTGCAATAGATTTCATCAAAAGCTAAATTGTTCATAATGGAAAGCAAAGTCTGTTAGAGAGAGAAAAAGAAAGAAAAAGAAAAAAAGAAAGAAAGAAAGAACCAGTGTTCATTTGATCAGAGCCACATGCAGGTTTTCCCCAGGGGCAAATGCCAGCACAGTTCAGATGTTAAAAGCCTCGGCAGCTGGCACGAACCTCCCTTTGCCTAAAGGGCACCTATGTGCGATCTCAGCATCGTCACCGTCAATTAAAAGAAACAGAGCTCTCCTGGCCAGGACTTGGCTGAGCTGATGCGCGCTTGAGAACTGCCTGGCCGCCTCTGTTTGCTGTAATTGAAGCTATTATAACCGCCTGCGAGTCCATTATCACTGTCCTTTGTCCAGGGCCGCTGTGCGTTGGCCGTGCACAAATGCTCCCTGCTGGACCAGGAAATTGGGTCCCCAGGACGGATTCCGACAAGGAGTTGAAAGACAGATGAGGCCAATTTAAATGATCTTCTTTCATCAGAAAATTAGATTACCATAGAAAATGAGTGTTGTGGAGATGACTATTTAAGGAGCCCACCTCATTTGTGAAATGTCATTCACTTTGTGTGCGCGTGTCTGTGGTCCAACACCAACACACTTGGAAAGGGAGGGGAAAGCTGTGTCTCAAAATGCTCAGCCTCACACATTTTCCAAGCACTTCAAGATGATTTGCCCATAAGCCCCTCAGTATAGCTGTGTAAATTAAGGTTAAAACTAAAGGAAATGATGCTTGCAACTTCAGTTTTGTGTTCAGAGTTCAAATGAGATTAGAGCAAAAAGTATAAGATTTTTTTTGTCACAAATTCCTGTTGATTTCTTTCTCACAGCTGAGAGAAGGTAGTTCTGGCTTATCCCGATGGAATGTGGGAACTCCTGCGGCCCATTAGCACATTAATTCAGCTCTCCCCTCATTTGTGTGTGCTCTGGGACCCAAGGCACTCAAAAGGAAAGAAACACCTGCATAGAAGTGTCCCCTCTGTAAAAAGAAAAATGACATGGAGTGAAGTTAAAGAGAGAACTAGAAGAGATCAGATAAAATGTGCTATTGCATGCTTATAATATTCCTTTCCTCTTCTCTATAGTACATTTTACATTTTGACTTTTTCCTAATTATAATATCCATACTAATATACTTAATGAAAATAGATAAAATACGGGGATGGACTTGAACTTTTTTCAGAGTGAAGAGGTCAGTAAACCCTCTTCCTAATAAAACAAATGTTAAAGGGGACAAAAATACCAAAAACAAGCATTTTAAGGGCTCTGACTTCTGACCAAAAGCAAATAATAAATAGAGAAATGTTTGGTCACGTAAAAAACTATTAACTTTGGACTGCAGCACTGGGCGTCATGGTGATCCCGCCTGGGGCTGCTGTCTCCCCACTGCCAGCCCAGGGGTCGCAGCAGTGCCTCCAGGTGTGAAGGGAGGACATGGCAGAGAGAGAAAGTCCACCTGTTCTTTAGAAGCACCTCAGCATTGAGTATGCTCCTCAGCCTGCACACAGATCCATCAACAGAGGGAAAAGACTTTATTTGCACAGAGAATTTGAGCACAAACTTAAAGGAATTACCAACTGAAAAATAAACTATGTAGATTCAGGAGTGACCCCCTAAGAAACCAATCCAAAACACAAAAATTAGATTTTAAAACAAAATGAGCAAAAATGTCACCCACTCTACATAATAGAGGAGACAGATAACTAGAGATTGATTCCAGGAAAGTTACTATAAATAAAACAAAACAAAAAATAACAATAACCCTCAGTGGAAAAGATTCAGAGTTGCAACAATTTGTTATCTAAAATATCCAGTTTTCAATAAAAAAAATGTCCTTGCAAAAACAAGTATGACCATATTCAGGATAGAGGGGGAAGTAGTCAGTAGAAAATGACTGTGAATGGGCCCAGATGTTGAGTTTAGCAGACAAAAACATCAAAGCAGCTATGAATATTCAAACAATTATGGAAACTATGTTTAAAGAATTAAATAAAAATATGAGGACAATGGCTCCACAAATAGGGAATCTCAATAAAGATAAAGGAACAATAAAAAAATAACCAATAGAAATTCTGAAGCAAAAATTACAATAGCTGAAATAAATACTGAATGGGCTCAAGTGGCTGTTATATAGTAAGAGAAAGAATCAGTGAAAGTGAAAAAGGAGCAATAGAAATAATCTAATCTGAAATAAGGTAAAAGTTTGATGAAAAGATAAATTGATGAAAGATACCTGTGGGACAATGTCCAGGAAACCAGCACATGTAACAGGAGTTCCAGAAGAAGTCAAGAGTGAGAGAGGGGGAAGAAAAAATGAAATAGCTGGAATCCTCCCAAATTTGTTGAAAAACATTAATGCAGATTCAAGAGTTTCACGAATCCCATGTAGACAAACACAAAGAGATCCCTATCTGGACACATCATAGTTCAAACCACCGAGGGCCAGAACAAAGAGAAAATCTTGAATGCGTAAAGAGAAAAGTGGGTCATTGCGTACACAGAAGTATTGATACAATTACTGATTGTTTAACTGAAACAATGAAGGCCAGAAGCAATGCAAAGACATTTCAAAGTGCTGGAAGGAAATGTTAATAAAAAATTCTATATTCAATGAAACTGTTTTTCAAAACAGAAAGTGAAATAAAGAAATTCCCAAAGACTGAGAATATGTGGATAGTATTTAGTATTTCTTGATAGAAAATGCTAACGGCAGTCCCCTAATCTGAACGAATATGACATACGGCAGTAACTTGAATCCACAGGAAAAAATAAAGAGAATTAGAAATGATAAATAAGTGGTTTCATATAGAAGACTCTGTAAATACATATCTTCTCTTATTTAAAGACAGGAGAGAAGCTAAATAACTATAAAAGTCTAGTATTAGGTACATAACATATACAGATGTATGTTGGTGAGAAACCACCACGTTGGGCACGTGGGTGAGAAACCATAACACAAGGACAGGGCAGGGAATGGAGCTACGCTGGAGTAAAAAGTTCTATATTTTACGTGGCATTGATCCGAATTAAATCGTTCTACCATGTGATGCATACTGTAATCCTTAGAGCAACCATTAGAAAAAAACTTTAAAATAGAGCAAAAAAAAAAAGAATTAAAATGGTGTTCTAAAAAATATGTGCATAACACAAAATAAGGTGGCACTAGTAAGGATCAGAGCAAAAGCAATAATCTGTAAAAGACAGTGGCGAAGGGCTCAAGGTACTGTTTCATTAGAGGGTGGGGTTTTGGCAGGAAGGCGAACATAGATTTTCCGTTTGCAGGGCTGGAGCCCAGGGAATGGTGGGAGTCCAGGGGTCCCTGCTCTCTGAGGCCCAAAACTTCATCTCACTCTAACTTTTGTCTGGTCTCCTGACAAGAAGATACTAGAACTAAAAGAATGTCAGAATTTACTGCTTAAGCCACATGTGGAGAAAGAAAAGAAAATAGGGCTGCCTTCAAGTGCACGAGTTCTTACTCACAAGGTCCACATGAGACCAGGCAGGATGCCCTCCACCTGCTCTTTTCTGAGGAGAGAGTGTGGGCAAGGGAGAGCACCCGCTCCACCGAGAGGGCAGAATGTGGCAGGTGAAGCTCAGGCCCTGGGGGGCTCTGGCACTGAAGAGCCCCTTGAAGAAGTTACCCACTCTGTGCACTTTATCTGTCCTCACTCATTAGACTCTAAGACATGAATAATTACTCCGGTGCTATTTATTTATCCCATGAAGTGGGAACTCTATGTAGGGAAATCTTCAAGTATCATATAAACATTTTATTCTTTTCATCTGTAAGTGAATAAATGTATATTCCTTTTTGAATTAATTTATTCAGCGGTCACTTAATATTCTGCAGATACGTAATGAGCGTCTGCAGTTTCCAAAGCAGCAAGAATATAGTTACATCTGTTCCCACGGAGGAAGCGGTCAGCAGTGAGGACAAAGCGTCAATCACATAATCACACGTGTGGAGGCT